AATTGACTACACTGTAGATCCACAGTTTGGTAAGATGTTTAGTAACGGTTAATTGTATTTGGCAAACACAAAAGATCCACACTTTGGTAAGATGTTTAATAACAGTTGATTGTAATTGACTACACTGTAGATCCACAGTTTGGTAAGATGTTTAGTAACGGTTAATTCTAGTTGACAAACACAAGAGATCCACACTTTGGTAAGATGTTTAATAGCAGTTGAATGTAGTTGACTACACATTAGATCCACACCTTGGTAAGATGTTTAATAACAGTTGATTGTATTTGGAAACACAAAAGATCCACATTTTGGTAAGATGTTTAATAACAGTTGATTGTAATTGACTACACTGTAGATCCAGAGTTTGGTAAGATGCTTAATAGCAGTTGATTGTAGTTGACTACACATTAGATCCACATTTTGATAAGATGTTTAATAACGGTTAATTCTAGGTGACAAACACAAGAGATCCACACTTTGGTAAGATGTTTAATAGCAGTTGAATGTAGTTTACTACACATTAGATCCACACTTTGGTAAGTTGTTTAATAACAGGTTGATTGTAATTGACTACACTGTAGATCCACAGTTTGGTAAGATGTTTAATAATGGTTGATTCTAGTTGACAAACACAAGAGATCCACACTTTGGTAAGATGTTCAATAACAGTTGATTGTAATTGACTACACTGTAGATCCACTGTTTGGTAAGATGTTTAATAACAGTTGATTGTAGTTGACTAGCACAAAATATTGAAACTTTGGTAACATGTATAATAACAGGTTGATTATAGTTGACTACACTGTTGATCCACACTTTGGTAAGATGTTTAATAACAATGTATTATATCTGATTACACTGCAGATCCACAGTTTGGTAAGATGTTTGATAACAGTTGATTCTAGTTGACAAACACGAAAGATCCACTTTATGTTAAAATGATTAATAATAGTTGATTGTAGCTGACAAACACAGTCGATCCACACTGTGGTAAGATGTTTAATAACAATGTATTATATTTGATTACATTGCAGATCCATAGTTTGGTAAGATGTTTAATAACAGTTGATTGTCGTTGACAAGCATAAAAGATCCACACTTTTGTAAGATGTTTAGTAATGGTTGATTATAGTCGACAAACACAAAAGATGCACACTTTGGTAAGATGTTTAATAGCAATTAATTGTCATTGACTACACATTAGATCCACACTTTGGTAAGATGTTTAATAACAGTTGATTGTAATTGACTACACTGTAGATCCACACAATTTTGAGATGTTTAATAATAGTTGATTGTAGTTGATAACAAAGCAGATACACACTGTGGTAAGATGTTTAATAATAGTTGATTGTAGTTGACAACACAGTAGATCCACACTATGGTAAGATGTTTAAAAACAGGTTATTGTATTTGACAGTTTAGCATATCCACAGTTTGGTGAGGTGATTAATAACAGGTGATTGTATTTGACAACTCAGCAGATACACACATTGGTAAGATGTTTAATAACGGTTGATTGTAGTTGACAACACTGTAAATCCACACTTTGGTAAATGTTTAATAATAGTTGATTGTAATTGACTACACTGTAGATCCACACTTTGGTAAGATGTTTAGTAACAGTTGATTCTAGTTGACAAACAAAGAAGATCCACACTTTGGTAAGATGTTTAATAACAGGTTGATTATAGTTGACTACACTCTAGATCCACACTTTGGTAACATGTATAATAACAATTGATTATAGTTGACTACACTGCAGATCCACATTTGGTAAGATGTTTAATAACAATGTATTATATTAGACTACACTGTAGATGCACAGTTTGGTAAGATGTTTAGTAACAATTGATTATAGTTGACTACACTGCAGATCCACAGTTTGGTAAGATGTTTAATAACAATTGATTATAGTTGACTACACTGCAGATCCACACTTTGGTAAGATGTTTAGTAACAATGTATTATATTTGACAACACTGCAGATCCACACATTTGTAAGATGTTTAATAACAGTTGATTGTAGTTGACAACGCATTGACAGACTTCCAAAACATTTACATGTTATTATCATAAGGTCATTTATTATGGTGTTTTTAATAATTCCAATAATATTTGTAATGAAATTTAATGAACCTTTTAACTCAAGTACTAAAATTCTAGAATGGAGATTCATATATAAAAAAATTAACATTTAAAACTGAGGAATGTTTGAGATGTTTGTTCCATCATAAGTCTAATTTCAGTATATTTTTTTCTAGTAATGGGTCACGTGATGTGTATTGGACTGAATCTGTGGGTTAATGGAAGCTCACCACGTCTAGATAGCAAGTTGAAACTGGATTTAGAAAATGTAGAAATTCTAGCTAGTAAACAAGAAGAAGTTTTAACTTGGAGAGAAAAAAGCCATGTTGAAGCTATTCGCCTGTTTGCAGATGGGTGAGAATAACACTAATAAAGAACCAAATATTTTAAGAGGACATGTGTGAAAAAAAAACATTTATGGTAATAAACAGTGTCTTCCATGCTGAAACCAATTTTTCAATTTTTAAACAACATCATCTGCTGATGAGTAAAAATGATGCTGTAAAGTTAAACTATAACCACCATATGATCTGATACTTGCAGGAATTGGGAAGGAACCACAAGAGTGTTAGACGATATCCTTGTGGAATACCCAACAGACATGCTTGCTATAAAGATGGCCCACAATGTCCACTTTTTTCAAGGTCACCTACAACATATGCGAGACACTATTGGTCGAGTTCTTCCGCAATGGAAACCAACTACTCCTCTTTATAAGTGAGTTCTTTAATTTCGTGCCTATAATATGGATAATGCTAAATATAACTTGTAGAATTTCATGTGTTGTTTCACTACATTTAGTATTTGATTTGAACTTATTATAGGTTGTTCAAAGCTCAAGCTGCTAGGAGGGCTTTATAACTTAGTGTTTCATTAGAAGCACTAATGCATTAAAGCACTAGTGGGCCCTGGATGAAGTATAAACAAGTGTGGCCCCTTTGCTTAACCTTGCTTTTAAGAAAATACCATACAATTTGATAAATTGAATTTATTAGTGATAAAAACATTCAGGGAATAAAAAACGAAAATGTATATATTTAAAAAAAAAATTGGTTTATTATCATTATTATTATATTATACACTTCATATTATATTATCTATTATTATACTCGCAACATGCTGTGTAACCTGGGCAACTGTCCCCTTTGCCCATTGTATAAATCAGCCCTGATTAGAAGTACCAAATTATTCCAAACTTAAGTTCCTAGAAGGACTTTCTAACTGAATGTTTGATTTGAAGTAATTACAACATAGTGTTTGATTAGAAGAAAATGACAAACTATTCAAAATAGACTCAAGAAATAGAACATTACTAGCAGTTTTATAATTCAAAAATATTCTAATATCAAACAATTGTGTATATAATCGTGATGAAGCCACAAAGGCAAAACGTTGGTTAAAGCAAAAAAATCATTTTATATATATATCTGGAGTATAAAGGTCATTTGTTCTAAACTTTCATCAAAATGTGTAAATCTCTCCATTATGCACTACAAATTTTGAAGTAGTTACAAGCTATTCAAAATTTAAGCTCTTAGGAGCACTCTCCAATTTAGTGTTTGACTAGAAGGAATCACAAGCTAATCAAAACTTAAGTTCCTCCTGGGGCTTTACAACTTAGTGTTTGATTTGAAGTAATTACAAACTATTCAAAACTTAAGCTGGTAGGAGGGCTTTACAACTTAGTGTTTGATTAGAAGTTATTAAAAGCTACTCAACACTTAAGCTGCTAACAACATAGGAGTGCAACACACCCTCCTGACGTATGTGACTCCCTCTATTAGATTATACCAAACTATCACTTCTCATTTGGCAGTGCTTGTGTCAGTACGTTCTTTATTGTGTTTTTCAATCGTTTATTTTTCTTTATACTTAGTGCATTTTTCTCCCATTCATTCCAAAGTGTTCTGTTCAATTTTAAAACAGTTCGCGAACCTGAAGATAACTTATTTTTCCCAATTTCATTTCATTATTCTAACATTGTTGTCTTTGATCATTCATTGTTTACAATGAATTCCAAAGTCCAAGTTACCACTTCGGAATTTGACAATATCTTTCCTCTTCCTGATTTTGTCGTGTCTTCCTACACCCCCCTACTGTAGAATCAGCTAAACCTAATATGGCTTTTTTGGACAATGTGTTTTATATTATCCATTTCCCCAATTCTTTATAATCCCCTTCCTTCTTTCTTACATAATACCCTCTTCACTCAGAAATGTATTCCACCCCTTCCCTGGGTATTATGGTTCATGTAGAGCTTTTTTTGTCTCTCAGTTGAGGGTGCTAGTATGCCACACTCTCCATGGGCTTCAGATCGGTTTGGTTTAGCATACCATTGGGCTGAATTTCCATTTCTTGATTCTCAAAAGTTAGGATCGCTTTTGCCCATTTTGGGGGTGGACCCTGATCATCCTGTTTGTTTATCCCATGCCCAGTTTTCCCTCTTTCGTCTTACCTTATGAACTCTCCTGTGGTACCTGTTTGCTATTCACCTTTTTTCAGAGGTTAGCTTGTTTCAACCAGGAGTCTGCCCATCACACTCAACTGCTGCTCCTGGAGGCAGCTCATTTGGGTTGGTTAATCAAGCTGGAGAAGTCATTCCTTATCACTACACAATATCTTGTTTACTTAGATTTTTTTAACACTCATCTCAATCAGGCCCAACCTTCTTCTATCTGGCTACATTCGATGGAGCTTTCTGTTCTCCATGCTCTTACTATTCCCTCTATTACTGCTCACAAGGTTCTATTGCTTTGGAGATGTGACCTTCTATGGAAGCCCTTATCCCCTTGGGTTGAGTGCATATGAGGTCTCTTCATTGGGCCCTGCACAACCAGTGGAAACATGTGCAATATCCATTAGAAACTCATATTTCCCTTCCTTCTTTCCTTGTCGATATTGGTGGTTAGATAGGGCTCACACATGTGTGGGTGTTCCACTACCTCCCCTGCATCTGAATTTGCATATCTTCATGGATGCTTCCATTCAGGTCTGTGGTCTCCAGTCGAGAAATCTTACTATATCAACATCCTGGAGTTTCTGGCCGTACATCATCCTTTGGATCATTTTCTTTATCTGGTTATGATCCATTCCCACAATTCTGCAGTGGTGGCTTATATCACACACCAAGACGACACCCATTCTTGTTCTCTTTGTGGATGAATCTTGGATTTCCTTTTCTTGACTCACATGCTCTGTATTTGTCTCCTTGTGTGCCATGTTCTGGGTGCATTCAATCTTGTTGCAGATTATCTTTCCTCTACTGACAAAGTTTATCCGATGGAGTGGTCTCTCTACCCTTTTGTTTTACAGTGACTATGCCTTCAGTGGGGGTAATCCTCTCCTGGATGCATTTGCCACACCTCTCAATACCAAATTACCTCTGGTTTGTCATCCACTTGCACTGGCTGTCGATACATTCAATCAGGATTGGACCAACAAATACCTTTATGTGTAGCCTCCCATGCTTCTTTTTCCCATGTCAGGTCATTCCGATTGCTCCTTACTGGCCCGGCACAACCATGGTTTCCGTGGCTGCTTCAGGTCCAGTTTGCCCCACCATTACCTCTTCCTCTTGCTCTATCTCTTGTACATCAGCCTTGGTCACTAGCATTTCATCCAGCCCTTCATATCCTCCATTTTTATGCTTGGTTTTTATCTGGTTCTTGGCAAGGAGATCCGATTGTTTCGGTGAGTTGGTTCATTTTTAGCTCGTTCCATTCACTCTTCCTCTATGGATGTCTATCAATGTAAGTAGAATGTTTTCTGCCGTTGGTCTTTGGGTTGGGTGTTTCACCTGCTTGACCCAATGTTCCTCTTCTTGCAGATTTCCTCACTTGGCTGTTTAATCAGGGGCTTACAGTCTTTTCAACTGCAGGTTATTAGGCTGCCTTATCCCACACTTTTCATTTTTCTTGGTACCATAAAGTTTTTGCCTTTCCATTTTGTTGCATTCCTTCTGGATTTGTCATACTCCTTTGCATGCTGTCTTTCTGGATTGGGATTTCATTGTGGTTTTTCACTGCCTTACTTTGCCTCTGTTCGATTTTTTGCTTATCCCTTAAGACTTGTATTTTTTCCTTTTGGCCTATGGATGTCATAGGTCAAATTTATTTGCCATCAACGTTTAAAGTATACATTATCATACCATATATGTTCTCCTCTATCTAATTTGCTCTTTCCTTCCCAAAACTTCATTGGGTAGTGAGGGTAACTCCTCCTCCTCCTCACTGATTTCCCTGCCCACCATTTCCCACCCGTATCCTCGGTCTAATCTGGATAGACTACTATATAACATACATGCTCTATGTTATTATATTGCCTGCATGGCTTCCTTCCATAATTCCCATTACTGTCTCTTCATTCTGTGGCAATTTCCTCCATAACCTTTCTCCTTCCACCCTTACCAATTGGGTTCAGCTTTTAATACGATTGGCTTATACTTCCTTGTCTTCTTCTTTCCATAATTTTTTCCAGGTGTCTTCTCATAAGGTTTGGCACCTTACCTTTTCCCTGGCATCTAATCTCTGTCGTCTCTTGGGGCAAGTTCTTCAATCAGGCATGTGGACCACACCACACGTTCATCTATCACTATTTACATTAGATTGCTGTTTCTTCATTGTTGGGTTATTGTCTTCCTCCTGTGGCCATTATTCAGGCTTTGGTGAGACTGTGACTAGGTAAGTTATCTTTTGTATACCTCTTTTTTTTCATGGGCATTTCCCTTTTTTTTCCTGTATGGATCCCACTTGGTGGCAAGTGGTTCCTGGCCAGAGTATACTTCAAATAGTGAAATCCACACTGTCAGGCGATGTTTATATTTTATGATTTCCATGGCTATTTAATGCTTACTGCTGAGATGAAGGTATTCCACAAGATTGCTTGTAGGTTTTCCTTGCAATATTGACTTGCTTTATTAATATGCCAATACTGGATCATTGAATAAATCAGGTATAGTCTGCTTTTCAAACTAGGATTTTCATTGTCACCTATTGCAATGTCTCTAGTGTTGATGTTCCTCCAGACTATCCATTGCATTTCCCCCCTCTTTTCCTCTAGTGCAATATAGGAGTTCTTACCATGTTACAGTTCCAAACCACTGGGGTGGTGGACTATGTAGGTATTCTCCTGAATGTTATAGTGACATATGTTACAAACAAGGATGGAACCATTTAGTGGAGAGTAGGGTAGTGGTGTTTTGCTGGTGTGTTACAACGAGATGTCCTCCAGCATGATCAATCTCTATATAGGTTTATCTGAGGGGATGTTGTAGCTTTGGAGTGGGACATCAAAACTGCAGTCCAACCTTTTGATTGGGATCCCTCATCCTACCCTCATATGGATGTCTATTCCCAGTGGCTGGGTTTTGGATTCAGAGCTAAACCAACCAACATAAGTCCTCACACATGTATTACAGGTGTACCTGTTCCTTCATTCAATTATACTCTTCTTCACTCCATCCTTGGTGTGGGTCATAGTGATGGTACTTTGAGATTAATATGGTTCTGCTTCTTATGCTATCCCTTGATGATTTTCATTTACTAAGATATATACTGTCAGATTGGTTTTGAGTGGGAGTGTTTACTTTTTAGAGACATCTTTCTTAGGCCAAATGTCAGTTCCCGGATTGATTAAACAATTTATCATATTGCTTTCATGTGTTCTGTTCACAGTTTGATGGGTACGAGATTTCCCTCTGGTTTGCTGAACATGAGGTGAAGACAGCACGATCCTCTTGCATACCCCCTGTGTTTAGGATGCAGTTGACTTGCCGTGTATGGTCCATTGCATCCTAGCCACTCGATCATATCTACACCTAGGGGCATATTCGTTTTACTCTCACCCACCTTCATGTAATGTATGGGATTGAGATTCAATTATTGTGTGGTTTGGATCCCTATACAACCTTTGTTCTCTCCCCTTTGGATGTGCTCCTCCAATTTTCCACCCGTGTCTGTGTCACCTCTTTCCACACTGGGTGAAGGTGTATACCTGGTACAGAAGTGGTGCAGCCTCCCACATACAACCCTCTAATGCAAGGATCTCCTCTTTTAGGGTGTTTTTTGAATGCTTCTTTCTTTCTCTTGCACTGGTTCCTCCACCTATTCAATATGGGATTCTAGTAGCTATTTATGTGAGTGGAGGTAATATACCGTATTGGAAGTTATAATTTTCCTATACTGAAAATGTATTTCTGATTGGTACTTACCTCCATTCACACTTCCCATCTTTCCTCCCCACTGAAAACTAGTGCTTCCATTTTCTTCTAAAACTGAAAGTGATAGTTCAGTAGAACTGAGTTACAAGCATTAAGAGGGTGTGTTGCACTCCTATTGGTAGAGGATTGTCGCATGATGATTTACATGCAAGTTGCAGTTGTACCATGTTCAACATAGGTTACGTGGGAGCTCAAGGCTTGTGGCATACAAAAAAAAAATTGTATATAGAGGGAAACACTGAACAAGAACAGCTATTTATGTTACAAAAGGCAAGTTCCTATCAGAAATACATTTTCAATGTAGGAAAATTATAACTTTCAAACTAGTGTTTGATTTAAAGTAATTACAAGCTATTTAAAACTTTGGTTTTTGTGAGGGTTTCTCAACTTTTTTTTTATGTTTTAATTGTAGCTACTTGTTTGGCATGTATGCATATGGATTGGAAGAGACTAACTTCTACTCAGAAGCAGAGGATTTTTGTCGGAAGGTTAGACAGTCTCCTTTGTCTGCGTAAATCCCTTCATGAAAATGTTTTTTATGATATGAAAAAGAAGCTTTAAAAACCCACTTTACCAATTGTGACTTTCAGTATTGAGGCTCTTGAGAATGTAAATGACTATATAACTATAGGATTGTTGCCTTTACTGCCAAAACCATGGTCATTAATACATGAAGTATTTGTGAAACGTACAACTGTCTTTGCTTTTTTTTTTCTCGATTCTGTAATTATGGAGTTTCACCAAGTACCAACGATTTCAGATATCAACTACATAAGAAGTAAAGGTTATAAGGATTCTTAAATTACAAGTTAAATAATTTCACAAATTAAAAGTTTGAATTGAGCTATAAGAATTATTTGACTCCTTGAATTGTGTTATATCTACTGTTTTTATTATCCTGTATATAATCTAACTTAATATTTGGTGTTAAAATAAAAAATAAGTAATGATGTGTTATTAATTCTTTTCCTAAAAAATCTAATATGTAAATGACTTTAAGCCATAGTACTAGTGTTTTGAAATAATAATTTCATTGTTTTGGTTGTACTTTCTTGAATTTATTAATTTTTTTCAGGTCTTGATTGTTGCTTCATTTGTATATAATGTTGAAAAGATTTAACTTTGTGCTGGTTGGTTTCCAGAAGCAATTTGTTTAAACCACTGTCAAGAGTTTAAAGTTTAGAAATGTTGGTGAATTTTTCAGGGTCTGGAACTGAACTGTAAAGATGGTTGGGCCACCCACACTCTTGCCCATGTGTTTGAAATGCAGGGTCGAACCACTGAAGGAATTGATTTTCTTAGTTCTACTGTCAAGAACTGGGAGGTCTGTTAATTTAAGTTTTCAATATAGATATTTCAGTGATAATGCATCAGTTAAGAGGAGGATGTTAGGGGTGCTACTATGCTATGTAAAAATAATGTTTTCTCTTAAATATTTGGTTCTGTATATTAATCTAAGGTTTTCATGTGAATAACATCACATTACACATGGTGATACAAAAGTCATACAATATGTTTGTTCTTCTTTAATGTCTGAAATGTGTGGAAGAGATCCAGCTGTGTACACCAGTGGTGCACAAAGTTTTTTATAGTACCCCACCTCCTAAACGTTGCCCATATTGTACATCAGTATCCCAAAGTGGGAGCTGCCAAAAAATGGGCTGAAAACAGTGATGTTGATTTAATTTTAATTCTAAATAAATAATAAGTCAATAAAAATTATGTTGAATTAATTAAATGCTACAGTATGTCGAAAGGAGATGTTATTGTTTTTACAATGGCACAGTTTTTCAATCCCCTTGCTAAACTTATAGGTTGAGGGGGCTTCAAACTTTTTTTTAATCACATCAAGGGAGCCTCAGAGTAGTTTGGGAACCACTGCTGTACATGTCACATTCCCTTATTAATTGTTGTTAGTACATTACTTAATAATAGTAATATTTGTATTAATGGTATTTCTTAAAAATTCTTTATTTTGAAATTTGTGCTTTTGGCTTGCACACCATCGGGAACAACTTTTTATCACCCTGTATTCTTTCTGTACAATCTATACAAATTATTCCTTTAATATAATGACATCATTACAGAGTTACATTTTATACCTGTGTTGAATTTCTTGTCACAATATCTAGCTGAAGTTATTACTAATGACACTAAAAGACAAGATTTTATATTAATTTTACTGTATACAAGAACAATACAAAAATCCTCCAATATTTATAATTCTGTTTTTTGTCAATTTTCTCACTTGCTTACTTAAAAAATAAAATGTAATCACTTGTTAAACTATTAAGTTAATAACGAAATTGTTTTGTATTTAAAATATAAAACAATGTTTGTTTATGGTGATTGTTTTTGTGTTTTAGCTGAGTAACCTTTTGGCCTCTCACAATTTTTGGCACTGGGCACTCTATCACATAGAACAGGTCAGTGGCTGAATAAGTACTAAATTAAGTAATGGAAAAGTACAAATTTACCATGAGATGGGTATAACCCAAAATGATAGAGGCAAGCATTAGGTATTAATTCAAAATAACTGAGAAATTTTAGATATGATCCAACTAGAATGAGACAAGCTTTAGAGATAACCCGAGTTGAGTGACGACAAGCTGTAGGTATAGCACGAGTTGAGTGACGACAAGCTGTAGGTATAGCACGAGTTGAGTGACGACAAGCTGTAGGTATAGCACGAGTTGAGTGACGACAAGCTGTAGGTGTAACACTAGTTGAGTGACGACAAGCTGTAGGTGTAACACGAGTTGAGTGATGACAAGCTGTAGGTATAAAACGAGTTGAGTGATGACAAGCTGTAGGTGTAGCACGAGTTGAGTGATGACAAGCTGTAGGTGTAACACGAGTTGAGTGATGACAAGCTGTAGGTGTAACACGAGTTGAGTGACAACAAGCTGTAGGTGTAACACTAGTTGAGTGACAACAAGCTGTAGGTGTAACACTAGTTGAGTGATGACAAGCTGTAGGTATAACACGAGATGAGTGACGACAAGCTGTAGGTGTAGCACGAGTTGAGTGATGACAAGCTGTAGGTATAGCACGAGTTGAGTGATGACAAGCTGTAGGTGTAACACTAGTTGAGTGACAACAAGCTGTAGGTATAGCACGAGTTGAGTGATGACAATCTGTAGGTGTAACACGAGTTGAGTGACAACAAGCTGTAGGTATAACACGAGTTGAGTGATGACAAGCTGTAGGTGTGACACGAGTTGAGTGACGACAAGCTGTAGGTGTGACACTAGTTGAGTGACGACAAGCTGTAGGTGTGACACTAGTTGAGTGACGACAAGCTGTAGGTGTGACACTAGTTGAGTGACGACAAGCTGTAGGTGTGACACGAGTTGAGTGACGACAAGCTGTAGGTGTAACACGAGTTGAGTGACGACAAGCTGTAGGTATTAAACCAACTTTAATGAGACAAGTTTTAGGTATTAACCCATGTTGAGGGAGATATTTTACTAAGTTTACTCCTTTTTTTTAAAAATTATATCAGATCTTTCCAAAAATTATACAAGTCAAGGAATTGTGTGAAAACAATGGGAACTTTCTTAACTTTAACCATTATTTATGCTTTTCTCCATCAGGGGGAGGTAGAAGCAGCAGTAGATATTTTTGACACACAGATTGGAAGAAGATTACATTCTGGAGGGTTCTTGGAAATTGTTGATTGTACTTCTCTGTTATACCGTTTGGAGCTTGAAGGTATAAAGATCAGATTATAATCCTGATAATATATTCTTAAAATAAGACTCTACTAACATTTTTAAAATGTAACTTTGAAATTCAGAGGGTGTTATGCAAAAACTGAAATATATTATTTTCAGAAAAGTGGATAATGATATTGTTTTTCAGATGAAGGGGAAATGGTAGTGCATGTTTTTTCTTGTAACACCAACTTGCAAGACAACTTATCCCTAATCAAAGCAACTGTATAATTCTTCTTCAAAGAATCCAGGTTGAAAACTTGCATCTTGGAATAAAGAAAGATTTTTTCCTTTTGATTTAGGAGCCAAAGTAAAGGACAGATGGCGGGAAGTTTTAGAAGTGAATCGCTCTCACATTGAGGACCGTACTGTAGCTTTTTACGATGTACATGTTTTTATGTCATGTCTTGGGGCCAATGATGATGATGCAACAAATTTGATGATGAATTCCCTTGATGAGTTTATTAGGTCAGTGTAGTTGCTGTAAGATATGGCTAAATATTAATCTTGCATATGTATCATATACATACAAAGTTAAGATATATAGTAAGTATTTCAATATTACTTATAAAGATATTTGTGATGCCAAGAGCTAGAGGAGTGGACTCCAAGTTTATCATTATTTGAGAACATTTCCCACTGTAGTCCCGAAGAAAGAACGTTTACTTTTCAATAGGACTGTGATTACATGTTTTTACATTTTGGAACTTTTAACACCAAATATTATATATTACATTCACGTGTTTAGGTCCATGTAAATATTGTTATTATAATAATAACCAGAAGAAAATAGGTGAGATTTGCTATGTTAACTCTTCTTGACCAGTTTGTACTTTTTATGAAAGGTTTCTAAAAAAAAGCTGCCATTACCCAAATTAAAACTGGCCTAAACCACCTGGGTAGAAAGTCACTAAACTAATAATTAAGTATTTACTCTTGATCCTTAAGGAAAGTGAAGCCAAACAACAATAAAACTCTATACTATGGTTAAACATGTCTTAAAAATATAAATTGTATCAGTAAAGACATATATTTTATATCAAAACTTCACACATTTTTCTTCTTCTTTGTGTTAGTTTGGATACCAATGACTTTAGGTGCTTGGATCTTGGCAAACGAGATACTTGTATCCTTCCTCAATTCTGCATTCACTGATAAGTTTTTATTATATGTTCTTTCCTAATCTCTGTAAAATGTTTACTTCAATAAATTGATTGTCTTTATTTACTTATTGTATGAAGACAGAAGTTTCTCTAATTACCTTATTTTCCTTACAGAGAAAATAAAGGAACATACTGTAATATTTCTGCTGATGTTGGAATTAAGATTATCGAAGCTCTTCGAGCTTATCATGAGGGAAGTTATGACAGAGTAGTTTCTCTGCTCTACCCTGTACGTTACAAGATAGCTCAGATTGGTGGAAGTAATGCACAGGTAGGTACTTGACCAAAGTTATTAGGGTGGTCTATCTATAGTTTATAATGGTAGATGATATTTTATATTTTAGTGTTAATGGTTAGAAACAACAATAAAGGCAACATGTAAGGATTGAAATTATGTGCTAGTGTCTTCCAACTAATACGTGAGTGGTAACACTTAGAAACAGCAATAAAGGCTACATGTAAGGATTGAAATTTCACGTATTAGTTTGAAGACACTAGCACATATTTCTAAGTGTTACCACTCACGTATTAGTTTGAAAACACTAGCACATAATTTCAATCCTTACATGTTGCCTTTATTGCTGTTTCTAAGTGTTACCACTCACGTATTAGTTTGAAGACACTAGCACATAATTTCAATCCTTACATGTAGCCTTTATTGCTGTTTCTAAGTGTTACCACAGCAATAAAGGCTACATGTAAGGATTGAAATTATGTGCTAGTGTCTTCGAACTAACATGTGAGTGGTAACACTTAGAAACAGCAATAAAGACAACACGTATAGATAGAAATTATGTGTAGTGTCTAAGGATTGAAATTATGTGTTAGTGTCTTTGAACTAGTACAACATTCTAGAGCCTTGTACTGTGGAAATGTCTCACTGGTTCTGAACTTGATCTCATCATTTAAAGTTTCTGAGCTGTATAAAAAGTGAAAACTGTTGGCTGACAAAGAGTAACTTTCTCAAAATTCAGCTGATTTTAAAAACACTTCCATGGTTCCATTCACCATTATTCTGGTGATGACACCTGTATGGTTGCCAAGCACTAAACAGTTTCTCTATAAAAATTAAAACAGTACATGTTTCATTTCACTGGGCAGGAACGGTTTTACTGTTGTATCCCTGTTTAACAAGGTGGAATTTGTCTTCTATAACCAGTGTAAAGATAACCAAATTTGTTATTTCTTTGTTTTAACAAAAATAAATATTGCCATTTGCTTTAGAATTCGGTGTTTGAGTGTTTAGTTCTCATTAAAGTAATCACTTTTTTATATTGGCAGCGTGACCTTTTCAACCTACTTCTCATTCATGCTGCTCTGAAATCCTCCGACAGGAACCATCACCGTCTAGCTCGGTAAGTGATTCACTGGTGTTTAATGCTCGTTTTTTTTAGAAATATTAATTTTTTTTTACACGTCGTAGAATGAGAATTTTTCTTACGTGAAACATTTCAAATTAGCCACAGACTTCTGCTTCTACTGTGAATTACCCTTTATATTATGAAGAATGGCAAACAAAATCACTGTTGTAGAGAATCCTATATTAAGTTTACGATTATAATATTCTTGCTTTTGAATCTAGTTTTTAAGTAAATTGAGTGTTACCTTATTGAAAATATAATTATGACATCCTCTGTAATACACTGATATTGATGTATTCCTAACAAAATTCATCTTTTTGTAGAAAACACTAGTTATGTTAGGTCCATAAACTACTTATTCTCATTTCAGAAGTCTTTTATACGAACGAAAATCTTTGAAAGAATCTTCACCCATGACGGATCGTCTTATGGCAAGAGCTTTAGCTTTACATCCAGCCTAGCATACCTTGTATTATTATTTTGTATGGTCTCTTCAGTTATAAACCCTGGTGACCAGTATGAGCAACCAGGGTAGTAAGTAACCAGATGTTTCATGTTTAAGTACAAGAACAGTTCAAATTATATTACTCAGCTAACCAAGATGTGTGAATATTTTGCTTATTAATCTATACACATTAATGTATTTTGTGAGCATTCTTACTAACTTTTATAATTGTGTTCAAAATGTATCATGATGAGTTAACTGTGGAATTAAAGCATTTTCTAAATCAAGGAATATATATTTATTTTACATGCAAGCACTAATTTATTCTGTATGTTACACTAATAATCTTACTTTCCTGCAATAATGTTTCATAAAAATAACTTTGTTCTTATTAAAGGGTGTTTCTTTTTCAACACTAAATAAACATTTAAAATCACCATTCTTACAACACCTTTTATGATCACTTTGAATACCTAATACACTCAAACATGTGGTCCTTACAACACCTTTTATGATCAGTTTGAATACCTAATACACTCAAACATGTGGTCCTTACAACACCTTTTATGATCAGTTTGAATACCTAATACACTCAAACATGTGGTCCTTACAACACCTTTTTATGATCACTTTGAATACCTAATACACTCAAACATGTGGTTCTTACAACACCTTTTATGATCACTTTGAATACCTAATACACTCAAGCATGTGTGAGCAAAATTTTTACTTTCCTACTGATTTTGAATCAGTCAAGTTTATTTACAAATTAAAAACAAAACATAATGTTTCTGTTGTTACTAATTCCTTCAAAATTGTGTTACGTGGGGATGTTGTACAATGCGAAAACTGATCACACTTCAAACATTAAATTTATATATGAAGAACTTCGGCTGTGGGGTTTCAATTGGAATTGAAGTGTCATTAACAGTCTGTGTGAACTCTAATAAACTACAGAAAGGTTTTAGATTAACAGCAGCATTGTAACTGTCACTCACTGTTGTTCAGAAGTTTCATATCCTTTATTAAAATTTATCATTACAAGTTATAATGGAGTTTAAAGAATTATATGAAACAAATATTTCTCGTTGTTTTGAACTTGAATCATGTTAGATAATGTAACTTTAGAGTGTGTATACAAAAGATTAAGTTTAATTAAAAGAGATTTTTGAGAAATATTAATTTTTTGTCAATGCACCTAACATTGTAAAATTTGTTGACATAGTGGAGGATGGAATTTTGGGTGTGCAGTATTCCACAATTTTGTTTTAAAATCCATTACTTGTTTTTAGGTGAGTCAGCAGTGCAAAAATCCAAGGTTCAATTCCCTACTGTTGATAGAATACAAATAGCCCATTGTATAGCTCTGTTCTAAAAAAATAATTTTGTTTAAAATTTATTATTTACATACTACTAGTTATACCAAATAAGGTTGTGAAATGGTTAGTTTGTATTTTGAATTAATCTTTTTCTGTGTTTATTTAAATTGTGCTGACACTGACACAGTGCTTAGTTGTTCATATATTTTCATTATGGAATGTGTTAACATTACTCTTTTTGGGTTTAAATGTTAGCAGGAAAAACTGAATGAAAATGCATTTTTTAAAAGACTGATATCAAGATGTTATAACTCAAAGATATCTATTTCTTCAAAACTTTCTCTATAAGTTATCTAACTTAATGAAACTGTGTGATCTGAATTCAAATACTTCAATTTTCCATACCAAAGTATTCAGATATAAGTATGAATACTCCTAAAGCTGTATTCGAATACAAATACCCCATGTCTGGTTTACAGTAGACTGTTGATGGTGCTCCAAGTCCACAGTTACACATGGCCTTCTGTGAAACACCATTGTTGTCACAGGATACACTGACATTGTGCACACAATTAAATGTTTACAGTAGGCTGTTGGAGTTGCTCCAAGTCCACAGTTACACATGGCCTTCTGTGAAACACCATTGTTGTCACAGGATACACTGACATTGTGCACACAATTAAATGTTTACAGTAGGCTGTTGGAGTTGCTCCAAGCCCACTCTTACACATTGCTTCCTGTGGAACACCATTGTTTTCACTGGATACACTGACATTGTACACATAATGAGGTTGACAGTCAGCTGTCAGTGGTGATCCAAGCCCACAGTTACACATTGCCTCCTGTGGAACACCACTTTTGTCACAGGATACACTGACATTGTATGACTTACACTTGCAGAATTCTGCCCAAATTTCAACTTCAAAGCATGTTAGTGACCCACTCAAAAATACTAGAGATTTCTATTAAAAACGACTTTGGCATGGTATTTGTATTCATATTCAATGGCATAGTATTCATATTTGCTGAATGATTTAGTGAATACTTATTATTGTAAGAGGAAATATCAACTTTTGTACTCATAAAATTTCTAGACTGTCATTATTACATCTGCAGCACATTAATTTCTCTTTCAGTACAAGCTTTGTTCCCAATGGAAAGTTTCCTCTGGGAACGAAATTGTACTGAAAAAGAAATTAACACTTTGCTGTACAGAACACAAATTAATATAATATGTCATTTGCTGGATTAAAACATATGCTTCCTATTGGTTATGAATAATGTAATTGAACGTCAGAGAGAACTATTGATAAATTCTAAAAGAGAGCATGTGACAGGTGGGTGTGGCAAGAGAGAACTGATTTTATATTTGATGGCTATGTAACCAAACAAAATTGAAGGCTCTGAAAATTATGCTTTGCCTTAATGATGATGATATAATAATTAATTTAGGTTAGATTTCATACTTTTTGGAGGGGTGGTAAATAAGTTAGAGAAGAGGGATGCCTAGAGAGCAAATGTCACATTTCTTACTCTAGGGGAAATTCAGGATTTTTTTAAATATTGCCTTATAAAATTAAGAACTTAAAACTTATATACTATTAAAATATGGATTATTAGCTACAGTTTTATGCTATAATAATCAGTATAACAGGAACAAAATGAATTTTAATGAAATTTTGAATGTAACTTACTAAAAACATGAGGTCAGTACTCTCCAACCACCTTAAAAGTTACCTTATTACATGGTTATTAATCCATTCAAGTCACTTGAAAGAATTTGAGATGGCTACTAAACTGCCTTTAGTAGTACATAAACTCTTCATCCTTCCTACTGCTAGATCTAGTCAGATCAAGGCAAAGTGTAAATATGGTCAGCAGACTATTTCTACTTCAGGAAAAGCCACTTCTAACCTGCTGACACTTCTGAAGGTAAGCCTTTTTATAATTTTTGTTACTATGAACTATATTCTAAATTATACAGTATAGGTAAAATAAATTTCTCATGCATGTTAAACTTTATTATTATTTTCATTTATTATATGTTTTTTATTATGAACTATATTGTGTATTATATAACTGAGATATGCTTTTGTATTTTTAGGGTAATCATGGGGCAGAGCTGCAGAAGTCTACATCTGGCTCTGGTACTTCTGCCCAGGTTCTGCAGCCTACAATAGCAGCAAACTATACACAATCAATTAAATATAAGTCTACACACTTGTCAGAAGCACATCACTAACAAACTCATCAATTTTATTGCCAGTACACTGCAGCCCTTATCAGTGGTGGAGTCAAAAAATTTTCAAGATCTAATGGCAGCCATGGATACTTGGTATATTCTTCCCAGTTGCATGCATATGCCTACAGTGTTGATCGAGAGCAGGTTTAATGAAGTTCACCAAAAAGTCATCTCTCTACTGTAACTTGTATTGAACATCAATGTCACTGTGGATATCTGAAGTAACAGACAAATGTGCAGCTTTCTTGGAGTCACTGGTCATTTAATACTTGACTGGAAAATGCAAACAGTCATGCTGGGTTATCAGCATTTCAAGGGGCATTATACATTACTAGGAAACTTTCTTGCTGCAGAAGAATTTGATTGGATTCATAGACAATACAGCTAGTGAAACACCAGTCAAATCTGGGATCTAATGCCACAGCCAAGCAGATGACACTTCGTTGCTCATACTGAACAGATTTCGTCAGTGCAGAGACAAGATTGAAATTATATCTGGACTGCATGCTGTGAATCTGTCATCAACCCATAAACACATGGCACTACATAACTAGAGGAGCAATGTTTGACCCTGGGTGAAATTGTTACCTATTCACAAGCTGTAGCGTGTGGGAAAAGCCGGGGTCATGTTCATGAAGAAATTCAAATAAATTGTCTGCTTATTTAGATTCATTCAAAAGTTCATATTACGATCACTATCTGTAGATGAGCTATCACCATCTCTCACACTAGGTAGTGTTTCAGCTTCAAATCCAGGCAACCAGAAAGCTTTGGATCATGTTTGATGCATTATTAGATGTCACATATGACACCTTGTTGATGTTTATTATTTCATCATATTGAGCTGCAGTGTCATAAAAAATTAAGCTTTTGCTGGATCATCGCGTCTTTGTTTAATAAAAGAATGGTGGCTACTTTTCCAACTACATATTATGGTCATTATTATTACAGAAACAATAAAAATAAATCTTTTTGCTTTTTATTATAACAGTAATTGTTTAACATTTTAAAAACAGATTTTTACTTGTGTATATTTTTTTTTCAGACAACATTGTCTGTGTATGGACAAAAGTCTTAACTGCACTTACCTACAAGATAATGTGTTTACAGCAGGGATGAGGTGATTATTAAGAGATCAGTAATGAGATACTTCATACTTTTTATGAATACGAATACATAGGAATATATTCATGAATACTTTGTCAGATAATATGCAATAATGATAAAACAGTAGATGATAAGATTTCAATACTTTTATTGTTCAAAATGCAATAACCAAGTTTCAAAACAAAAAATTTTATTAAAGGAGACTTATAGATATACCTGTCCATTGTTCTTTATGAACATCAGTCTCTCATATGTCTTATCAGTGAGAAGATAGTGATCAGGTCTGAGTGTTTTTGCCTTTGATGCTAAACAAACTCAATGGGGGCAGAGGATGCTGGAACACTCAGTGTTTGGCTAGTAGATATAGGATAGGAATTTTTTTTCATGGATTTTCCAATAATCTAGAGGGTTGATTTCTTCAGGAATGCAAGAATTATCAAGGTAGATGTTGATCTCTAAAGATGAGGTGGCTAGTTTCTTGAAGACAGCAAAGAAAGCTTACTTATTTTGTGAGTGGAGGATTTACAGTTCTCTTTTGGTTCCTTGTAATATTTATAGTGTTAGGTACAAGGACTTATGTCAGTTGTAATATTTATAGTGTAAGGTACAAGGACTTGTGTCAGTTGTAATATTCATAGTGTAAGGTACAAGGACTTATGTCAGTTGTAATATTCATAGTGTTAGGTACAAGGACTTGTGTCAGTTGTAATATTCATAGTGTAAGATACAAGGACTTGTGTCAGTTGTAATATTCATAGTGTAAGATACAAGGACTTGTGTCAGTTGTAATATTTATAGTGTAAATACAATTTTAATTTTTTATTCATAGATAATCCTCACTTTAAATGTACACTGCCGTTCCTTAACAAATATTCATAAAATAACAAATACATCATCATTTTATTTTCCTCTACATTTAAGTTATCATACGTTGATATATTTTTTGTATTTGATTAAAAATATTTCTTTTACATCCTGACACAAGTCCTTGTACCTAA